TATATAGAAATAACCCATGGTTAAATTGGTTTATATCGTCATAGAACTGGTTTTTATCCGTGATTTTTCAAGACCTTTTCCACCCGATCTGGGGAAATTTGGCCAGGAACCCCAAGCGCGTGGGGATCATCACCACACTGGCGCATGCCTGTGAGGATTGTCAGCAGGCGCCACCGATAGCTGGGTGGAAGTGGAGGGGTCTCCATGCGAAGCGGGAGAAAATGGCAGAGCTGGTGGGACAAGATGGAAAATATATATGATATGATATATGATATATGTATATATACATATATTATATTACATTATATCTTAAACATTACATTTTATACTATATTATATATAATATATTATATATTAAATATTATATATTATATATTATATATTAAATATTATATATAATATATTTTATATTATATATTATATTATATGTATTATATATTTTATATTTTATATTATATATTTTAAATTATATATTATATATTATATATTATATATTATATGTTATATATATTATTATTATATTATATCATTTTATTATATTATATTATATTATATTATATTATATTATATTTAAATATATTATATTTATGATATGTTGTATGTTATATATATCATTTATATTATTTATTTATTATATTATATATAATATGTTATATAGATATATAATTTAATATATATTATATTTTTTTACTATATATAATATGTTTAATCTTTTATGTGGTATTTAAATTACATATATTATATTATATTGTATCATTTTATTTTTAATATGTTATGTTTTACATATTTTATTAATATTTTATTCTTTTTTTTTTAAAAATTTAATATGTTTTATATTATATATTATATATAGTATATATTATATATATTGTATATATATTATATATATTAATTATATTATATATATATTATTTGTATTATATATATTATTTCTATTCTATATATATATATTGTTATTTTATATATATTATAATATGTTTTATGCTATATTTATATTATTTATATTATATATATACTTTTATTTTATCTTATATTATATTTAATGTCATATATTATATATATATATTATTTATATTATATATATTATTTATATTATATATATTATATTACTTTTTATTATTAGTAAATTGTTTTATACTATATATATATATTATTTGTATTATATATATATATTTTTTTAATCTTATATTATGTTATATTATATATGATATATGAGATATATGATGGGCCATGGGCCGTGGGGAAGATCATGTTCCTGACGATTTCCTGCGCAGGTCCAAGCCCGAGAGATCCTGAGGATCTTCGGCGATTTGACGGCGCAGCGGCTTGGCGTAGCCAGGGCGCAGGGACGTGGAGAGGTGGATTCCAGTGCAAAGACGTGGGAAAATCTTGGGAAATCATAGGAACATATGGGAAAATCTTGGGAAAAGCCACAAAAATCATGGGAAAATCTGGGGAAAATCAGAATATATGGGAAAGCCACTAGAAATGGAGCTTTTGAATGGTGGATGTTCCAGCTAGCCACGTTTGATTACCGTTTTTTTTTTGCATCCCCAAAGTCATAGAAAGTTGGACACCTGGAAATCATGGAGGAAATATCATCGAAAGGAACTACCATCCTGGTTTCACACTTTTCAACAACTTTTTGGGGACCCCTATATACCAAATGGTATCAGATGGTGATATCATAGGGATATGTTATGGAATATTAATGGACTATCAACTTTAGCTATTTAACATAGCCATGGAAAATGGTCCATTGATAGAGGATAAACGTGATGCTTTACATATCCAAAATGGTGATTTTGCATAGCTACGTTAAATAACCAAACGGTACTATTTGTGAACTGGTGGAGTATTTATGTGGTGAGTACTTTTATATCAATTTCGCACCCATTGATATCTTTGAATATTGGGGTATTCAGATATTTACTATTATGTTAATTCATATTTCGCTATTAATATGGGGGTATATATGAACTAGCTAGAAGTGTCATATTTGGAGTAGAACTATTCATGAACTGGCGGATCATACTATATGACGTATTAATGAACTGGATATATATATATATGTATGACTTTTGGGTTCTCATCATATTATCATTTCCATTTGCATTCCCCGGTTGAAAAGGGCCTCAACCCCCCCGACCCACCAGTTCATAGAGTTTACCTCGGGATACGTGCTATCTATTTGGTACATTGAGATTTATAATATGGAGGTTTCCTAAGTCATGGGGCTACTCAGTTATCATCCAGTCGTCATGGAGGTTTCCCATGACTTAGCAATGAAACATATTGAAACCCATGGTGGCCTGGGAATCCCCCCATTTGAAGAAACCTTCATATGTTTTTGCCGTCAAGATAAACCATAGTCACGG